GTAACGTAACGTAGTAACGTACGTACGTAACGACGTAAGACGTACGACGACGTAGTACACGATAGAGAGTAATAGAGAGAGAGAGAGNGAGGAGAGAGAGAGAGAGAGAGGGTTTGTTGATTGCATCGTGATCAGAGTGGTGCTTTGATGAAGTAAAAGATGTGTAACTAAGAAGTGTTAAGAATCTCAAACAAAACAAAACTAAGCTGTGTTTAGTGTTAAGTAGGGCTGGGGTAGCACCCCAAACTCTACTCACCACTTTGCATTGTGATCAGATTGAGTTTTTGATGCTTGGATTTGACTATCCAAAATTTAGACGGTGTCCGTACAATCTTAAAACATGTTTTTTCAAGCATTTACTTAGTGTGCTATCAATTTATTTTTTATTTTTACTTTTATTGGAAGTTAGTTGCTAGGTTGAAGTGATTAAATATATATTATATTTATATATTAAATGAGTAATGATCTTATGAGACCTTCCCACACCCATATGTGTAGGATCTCAAATGATCACCATTAAATTTAACACAGATCTCTAGAAAAGTTATCACATGGGTGTGGGACTTGACTTTTCTAAAGATCTATGTCAAATTTAATGGTGATCCTTGGGGTCCAACACACATGATCACCATTAAATTTGATACAGATCTCTAGAAAGTTATTACATAAGTGTGAGACTTGAGTAATTATCCTATGAGATCCTCCTACACCTATGTGTGTAAGACCCCAAATGATCACCATTAAATTTGACATAGATCTCTAGAAAAGTTATCACATGGGTTGTGGGAGAGAGAGAAGGTACTTAAAGAAACTGTCACATTCCAAAATCTATAAAGAGAGTACTTACTTTCATATTTCATAACCCATATTCCATTCATGGCATTGTTGTGTTTTTTTTTTTTTTTTGAGAAACTTTGTGGGTTGTAGAGAGAGAATACTTGGGAAAACTCTCATATTTCAGAACCCATATTCCATTCAACACAACAACATGTCCATAACATCACAAAATACATACAAAGACAAAATTTGCAAACAAAATTTCTATAATAAATAAGACTATTTTACAGACGTTCTATTTAAAGTAAACAATAATAGACAAAAATTACAAGCAATGAAAATAATTACAAATTTTTATTCTACTTCACAATATTAGTGAGTTTTCCACATAAAATATTATTTTTTGTTATAAAAAAAATTATTTTTTATGTTTTTCTATCTAAAAAAAAGTGTGTTTTCATTAGATAGTCAATGCTTTTCAATCGCAATAGTGACACATAGCAGCCTCTATAGAATGTTATTTAATGTAAAATTTCTTATTTCAATCTCTATGGAAATTTGTTTTGACTAGCTTTATTAGGCTGTGATTCTATTACAACATAAATAAGGTGTTTTTTTCAATGGATTGATTTGTGGAACATATATGGATGGGTTTAGTTTGTATAGCTTTGTTATATTTTTATTTTTTACTAATTTTGTGTTTGCATTATATAGTTTTGTCATGCTTTACCTGATTTTGGATTTCTTTCAGATAATGGTTCCCTGTCATGCTTTATGGTTTTGTTATATTAGTTTAATTTCATTAAATTTGGTGTTTTCATTGTACAGTTTCGTCATGTTTTTACTTGATTTTAAATTTCCAATATGCAAAGTCATTAGAAAGAAGTGCTTCTTTTTTGCGTTTGTTGTTTTTGTTTTAGATAAACTTTATGGCTTGGAGAGAGAGAGAGTATTTAAGGAAACTTTCATATTCCATAACCCATACAGAGAGTATTTAGGGAAACTTTCATATTTCATGACCCATATTTCATTTATGGCATTGTTGTTATTTATTTATTTATTTTAAGAAACTCTATGGGTTGTTTTTTATTTTTTGATAAAATTCATATAATTTTATTCAAGAGCTAAACATAAATTACATCATTAGAGACTAAAATCTCAGAAAGAGAAGTATCGTTTTAGCTAGACTATAAGCAAAACATTAGCCTCCCGATAAACGTGGACGAAGGAAAGAAAAAAAAGATTGGGACAAGTCCAAAATCTGGAACAAAATAGAACGCAATTCCGAAGGTACCTTCATCTCCCCCTTGCACCAATTGATAACATTGAGGGATTCTCTTTCAATAATACAAGTAGAACCTAAAAACCGGTCGCTAAGTAATTCTAGGCTGAAGAAGAGCCAGAAATTCACCGTGATTTACAGTTTTCTAACCCAAAGGACCTGAATAAGAAAAAAAATATGTCCTTCCCAATCCCTCAAAACTCCTCTAGAACCTGGATTACCAAGCGAGCTCCCATCAAAATTAAGTTTCAAAACACCTCTTAATAGAGCGGTCCATCTATCTTTGGGCCTACATTTCCAATAACCCAGTTGGAAAAGATTGTATAGATTTCTCATAACATCAACTTTCATAATATCTCTCCCCAGCTTTGTGATAGACAAAAACATCCAAATAAAATGGAGAATACAATCCAAAATTCTATTTATCGGTAAACAATTACCGTCAAACATTATTTTATTTATGTTCTTCCACACCTCCCATAAAATTACACCTCTTGCTATTTGTGAAATCACCGTACCAGTTTAAGGTAAAGAAGAGAGAGATAATGCTCCAATAATTCCTATAACATCTTGAGGTAAGATCAACACTGCTTTAACCTGAGCAAAAAACCAACTCCATATACTACTAGTAAAAGGGCAATATAGATAAAGATGAGCACCTGATTCAACATCCTTTTTAAATAACAAACATATATTAGGCAGAATTTTCCCTCTTTTAATGAGATTATCTATAGTAAATACCTTGTTTTGAACCGCCAACCACAAAAAAGCTTGGATCTTAAGAGGAAGCGGTCACTTCCAAATAGCAGCAATTTCAGGCATTGACCATCTCCATCGATCATGAAATAATAGATGGTACGTAGATTTGACCAAATAGACACAATCTTTTGCAATATCCCAGACCACCTCATCTTCCTCATTAAGGGGTAAATACACCTCATTTAGTGCTGATAACAAACCACCAAACTCCGGGATAAGCTCATCGGGAATTCTATTATAAGGTAAACTGATCTTCCACTCAATCTGATCCCCCTTCCTCTCAAAGAGATCCAAAATCAACACATTGGGATTACCCGCCCTATTGAAAATCAAAGGAAACTCATATTTTAACGGAGAGTTATCTAACCACTTATGGTGCCAAAAGGAGATAGTACTTTAATTACCAATTGTCCATTTGATATGTCTTACCTGAGTAAATAGATCTTCAGCAATGTGACATCCTTTTGCTACCAAGCTTGCCTCCAACCCACATACTTGAACCTATCATCACCATACTTCGAGCTTATCAGTTTATACCAAAGCTGGTCTTTAAAATTTAAACTTCTCCACCATCATTTACAGAGTAAAGTTTGAATAACCAACTTGATTTTCCTAATCCCCAAACCCCGTCCCCTTTTGGTGTACACACCCTATCCTATCTAAAAAGATGAAAATTTTTTGAGTCCCTTAAATAACCCCAAAGGAAGTTCCTTATAAGCAATTCAATCTTTCTAGCCACCGAAGAGGGAACTTGAAGAATTGACATCTGATAATTGAGAGATTAGCAATACATGCTTTAATCAAAGTGATCCTACTACCCAAAAAAAGATATTTGTATTTCCACAGATCAAGTTTAATTTGAATCTGCTGGATCACTTTATCCCACACTGCCACAGGTAATTAACCATCTGAAATAGGCATACCAAGATACATAATTGGGAAGTGGTCCACCTTAGAACCCAACGCCTCTACATAATTGGGAAGTAGAGAGAGAATTCTTGGGGAAACTCTCATATTTCATAAACCATATTCCATTTGTTGCAACAACATGTCCACAACATAAAAAAGCACACACAAATACAAAATTTGAAAAAAAAATTTCTACAATAAAAATAAAAAATGAAATACAATCGATCAATTGTTTACCCTACCGCTGCTAAGAAATTGTCCTCTACCACTAGTGTTGCTGCTTTCAAGAATGCAATAAGCTTCATTTTTGAGAGAAGGAGAGAGATTTAAGAAATTGTATTCTACCACTACTATTGGTGCTTTCCAGTATGCAATGAGCTTCTTTTGAGAGAGAGAGAGAGAGAGTGAGAGAGAGATTGGCAACTTCAAGATTCCTTAAGGGGCTCAATGGTTATGCAAAACTGAGGTGCATCTTGGCAATAACGGGTTAAACTTGATTCATGATTAGTAATTGTTCTCTACCACTACTGCTACTACGTTTAAGTATGTAATGAGCTTGTTTTGAGACAGATAGAGAGATTGACAGCTCAAAGATTCCTTGAAGGGCTCAATAGTTACGCAAAGCCGTGATGCATCTTGGCATTCACAGGTCAAACTTGATCCACGATCAGTCAATTGTTTCTCTTTGTATTCATTGTGAGAATTTGCAGAGATATCTCATTTCATTTCTATTTTTTTAATGGACTATGAAGGGATTGGTTGTTAGATTCACTATGAAGGGGCCATATCTTCTAAAATTGTATGATGTGTCTACCTTATACTATGAAGGAATTACTTCCAGACGATGTCATTTTGTTTTGAACATCTTCCCAATTGGAGGAAATCAAGAAGCCCAACATATTATCTCCAAAGCCCTTGCTCTATATCTTCTTGATCACGAGAACCAATTACTAATCTATAATAGTCCATGCATGCAACCATATATTCATTTTTATGTAGTGTAATATTTATGTGCGATAATAATTGCCATATTTGTCACATACACTCAGTATATGTTTAAAATTTGTAGTGATATTACATGATAAGAAATAGATCATAACTCTAAAAACTACTCCCATCTTATTTGTTGTATGAATTGCTAAATTAGTTTTCGATACATATTCAAAAATTTATGGTAACTATATAATAATAGGAAATGGGTCGTAACCCTAGAACCACTCAATTCGTAAGAATTCTTTGAACAAAAAGATGAACGTAGAGAGTCACGTATTCTCATCTAAGAGTGATGGAAAAGGCTTATCAACATATGCAATATAAACAGTCTCAAAATTCAGAAACTAATACTTCACAAGACGTTTATACACCAATAACAAATACTATTCCTTCACCATCAAACCAATTCTCCAATGACAAAAAAATTTTCCACTCAAAGAGAAGAGATCCTCATGTAATATGGACAATGACGATGGTACAAACTTAAAATCATTGTTGTTCTATACAAATTTTTCTCACGTATTTTTTCCAAAAGAAAATTGTAACAAATTATAAATTTTTGTTACTTTTTCTTTTTAGTTATAACTACTTCTCTATATTATTGTAGTTAAGAATTTCTTATTATTAAGGGGTGATGCATGATTAATCAAATTTTGTTATTAATAGATCTCTTTGAAATATTTAGTTAATAAGTTACAAGTAATTGTATATATGCAACACACGTATTTCAACTAGTATAATATAATAGTTACTAATATATATTATCTAATGTTATATAATATAGTATAATACAAAATAGAAAATAATATATTATTTCTATAAAATGTTATTTATATAATATTACTAATAATAGCGAATAGTGATCACTAATGGACAAAAAAAGTTTGGAGAGTTTAGGTTCTTAGGCTCCAATAAAATTTCAACATTCCCATTTTAAAAGAGAAATGGAACTTTGTTGTAACATTTGGGTTCTTTTTATTGTAACAGTTGTTGTGCAGTCAAACACGGAAGTGCTACAATATTCGGGAATGTTATCTTTTTTAACTCAAAACGTTCGTGCAAATAAACGCGCCCCTAAATTGTCATTCTGGCATGAAGTGATCATTTCTCGAAGCAAAACAAGTGGGGTTGGGGAAAGGTTTATTATACAAGGGTGAGGCCGCACACCTTAAAAATTCCCCATAAGAGGTTGTTCCGATGCTAAAAAATTGTCAAATCGATCATCTCGATCTCATGATACAAGGACACGAAAAAATATGGATTTCAAGTCTTGAAAATAGTGTATCTTGTAATTTATTTTTTAGACCGTCAATTTTCAAATTTTGAAATAATGCATCTTGTAATGAAACAACATTTTTTGACACTATTTAATGGTAAACCTCACTTTGGCTGTTTGGAGCCTCAACATTATATAAACCACACCCTTTAGAAAATGGACATTAACAAATATGTTAAGGATATCATGCCTAAATTATAAGGAAAAGTATATATTGAGACCAATTACCTTTTGTACAAGGCCATTATAATTATCTTGACCATTGGATATGAAATTGGGTGGCTGTATTTATTCTATTAACCAAGCTTAAAGTTCAAAAGCAATTTTTTCAAACCTTATGATATACCCAAGCTATCAAATTTCATGCTGAATGATTTTAAGTAAGAAAAAAGTTTATAAAGAGCCGAAACAATTAAAATAACACATTGGCGTGAATGTCCATTTTCTCAACTCCCCGAACCCGGTATAATGGGCCTCTTCAAAAGAGGCCGTGCCCGGCCACCAATCTAGCTCATTATTTCTTATTTTTTTGTTTATACTTTGGGATTATTATATACTATGAGAAAATGGACGTTAACAATGTATCAAGGAACAGTTCCCACGCCAGTGTGTAAATTGCAGACATAAAAAATCAGAAATAATGAACTAGTTTGGTGGCCGGGCATGGCCATTCAAAAGAGGCCCATTATGCTGGGTTCGGGTTTGGGCCTAGCTAAAAAAGCTCGGGCTGCACCGAGACATACATGGCATGGCCTTAATCTAGCCTAATGACAATTCTACGTGGGCAGAACTGTCCCATGTATAAGGGTGGCCTGGACTGGCCAAGTTGGTCTGACCCTAAAAGTCTAGGGCCTGGGCCACAAAATGTGGCTAGAGAGTAAGGTCAAGGCCATAACTAGGCCGGCCTGGCCTTCATTTTTCTTTAATTTTCCTTTCATTTTTTTTTTCCATTTTTTCTAGCCTGGCCGAGCTTTGAGAGATTAGGGTGCTCAAGGTGGGGCCTGTGCCGGCTCTAAAGGGATTAGGACCGAGCCAGGGCCAACCCGACCCGACCCATTGTCAGCACTCCCTATACATAGAGGTGCAATAGGCCGGACTTGGAGGCAGCACCGGGGTCTAGTTGCCAATGGGCAGCCCTAATTGGGCCAAAAAGGCCCTGGCCGAAGCCCGGACCAGGCCCGAACCTTTGTATAGGCAAGCCCAGTAATACCCTGTTGCCTAGCCATGGCCAGGCCCTTAAAAACACATTTTGTGGCCCAAGCCCTAGTTTTTGAGGGTCGGGATGACCGGAAAGGCCAACCAGCCCGTTGCCACCCTTACCTACACGGTTGGCCTAAGCAAATGCATGAGCCCATGCCCCAAGCTCAGGCCTAACGTTGCTCAATTATAGATAGGTTTGAGCCTCGCCTATTGCTAACCCTAATGGAAATTGAATTCGGTTTAGTGCCAACCCATGTTGGAAAAAACAGGTGATCTAACCAGTAACAGCCCGGTTAGATTAGAACCGGTTTGAGCGGTTTTGGTGATCAATGGTATTTAAAAATAAAAAAATAAAAAAAGTGTATATAAAATCCCAAAAATAATGAATTTGGTTTGTAATACGTTTTTTAACATTGGTTACATCACGGTAAGGATTAGAAATTGTTTCGGTCATTAAAACTTGTTTTTATATTTTTAAAAAAAATTTAAATATACCCTTAGATACGAATGGATTATTTAAAATCCATTTTTTCATTAATTTTCGAATGTGTTTTGTTTGAGAGCAATGATATGAGACCCTCAAATGTCCATGTGAGTAGGACCTTAAAGAATCATAATTAAATTTTGATACAGGTCTTTAGAAAATCCTTTCACCCAAGTCTCGTACCCATATTATAATTTTTTTAGAGATTTGTTTTAAAATTTAATAATGATTTTTTTGGATCTTACTCACGTGGGTGTGGAAGAGTCTCGTAGTGTCATTTTTTTTTTTTAATCATTATTTATATGTTTTTTATATTTTAATAGATATTTTTTTATATACTTTTTTGTTTTTTTTAGTGATTTTCTAACTGCACGCGTCTTGTTCGATTAGAAGGGCTCAATCGACCGGTTTACCAATTATACAGCTTCGGTGCCGATGCCCGGTTAACAGTTCCTGATCGATTTTGCTAAGACCGGAACCAAGCAGCGGGAATCTCTCTCTCTCTCTCTCTCTCTCTCTCTAAAATCAATTTTTTTTGCTGCTACCAAGTAGCGGGTAAACACTCTGCTCCTCGTTCTCGAAGTCTCTCTCTGTCAAGGAGTAGGCGCCAAGTAGCGGGGATCTCTCTCTCTCTCTAAGCATTTTTTGGTGCTACTAAGTAGCGGGAAAACACTCTTCTCGTCGTTCTCGAAGTCTCTGTAGGAGCAGGGTTTCGTTTGGCAAGCATACTTGTTTTTCTTTAGTGAGGGAGGAGCAGGGGCAAGCATACTTCTTTTTCCTTAGTGAAGGAGGTAGCAGCCTCGGAGCATTCCAGCCATGAGTACCATGAAGTTCTGCCGCGAATGGTATCTCTCTCTCTTTCCCCTGCATTCTCATTGTCCATTTCTTAACAGTGAGCTATGTTCTTCCCATGGTTTTTGCAGCAACAACATCCTCTATCCTAAGGAAGACCAGGAGCATAAGCAGCTCCTCTATGCTTGCCGCAACTGCGATCATCAGGTCTCTTTCTCTTCTTTCCTTCCCTTCTATTTTTTCAGCTAGGTTATGAAGATTGATCAATTATTTCCCTTTTCCTCGTCTTCTCTCATTCGTTATTCTTGTCTATTCAAAATCCATTTCCTTAATCCAAAAATTGCCTGTACTTGGAATTAGTGTTTGTATGCAGAACTCATCAAGTCATCCATCCATTTTTTCTCTCCTTCATTCTTTTCATTTTCTCTCTCCTACATTTTTCCCTTTCTCTCTCCATTCTTCTCCTTTTCTTTTATTTAATTGTTATTTCTTCCTTTTATTTATTTTTACTAGTTTATCACAGAGTGAATAATCATTTTCCCTTACCCTCGATTTGTTTAATTTTTTCTTCCTATTTGAGAGCCATTTACCCTAATCCCAAAAGCTGTTTAAATTTTGATGAGATATATGTATGACCCATTTCAGGAGGTTGCAGATAATTATTGTGTGTATAGGAATGAGATTCATCACTCAGTTGGTGAGCGGACACAAGTGTTGCAAGATGTAGCTGCTGATCCTACTCTGCCTCGCACTAAAACTGTTCGATGTACAGTTTGCAACCATGGGGAGGCTGTATTTTTTCAGGTCAGGAATGTTTTACCAAAATTGTTAAATTGGGGCACCTACAAAAGAAGACCCATCAATTCACAGCTATTTCAATCTAATCTAATACAATTTCTATGAATTTTATAAATGCAGTGGTTTCATGTTCACTTTTCCTTTCTAGATGTTTGGCATGCGATGGTTGTTTGAGCTAATCTATATGGTTTTTTCCCTGGTTAGATTTTAATGTCAAATAAAAGGATTATTTTTGCTTTATGTGTGGCTTGTGTTCTGCTTTTGTATGGTAAATTACAAAATGTATATAAGGATATCATAAGATGAATGCCTATCGATTTAAGAGGGAGAAAAATTTCTTCTTTGGCATTTCTTTATTTTTGTGCCTTTCACACAAAAGAAAATAGTCCCTTGTTAACATGGCTTGCTGTGATGTTTCTATTCCTTCTACTTCCTTTAAGGGCTAATACATCTCCATCAAAGTTAAGATTGCATTTCGCTTTTTAAAAGATTTTCCATATTATTGTGCTCATGTTTCATTAGATATATGTAAGGTGCCATTGCAGAACAACCTTGGTGTTTTCCCTCTTCTGATAGGAAGCCCTCTTTCGTAGTGATCATGCTTATATCCAGAGATTGAAGATGGAACAAAGGCTTACCAATAAAAGAAAAAAAAAGAAAAAAAAAGAACATTGATTAATAGCTTCTCAATTGAACTTAACTAGTGGTATTCCAAGTTGAGTGATATTCTTTTCCAAGTTGTCGCGTAACGAAATTTTAATTCCTCTAAGGCTGAGGACCCTGGTCCCTACCTTCCACATCCCAATTTAGAAGCATGGATTCACACCCATCTCTGAGTTACCTCAACTACTTTTGTGGTTTGGACTCTCTCGCTTCCTTCTAGCTCCCAGTGTTGGATGATAACAAGGTCCTCACTTCTCAATGTTTTTATTGGGAGAGATATATCTGCAGACATGAATTTGTATTAGCCACCAAATTATGAGTATCCTATTGTTTGTGTTAAAACTAGCACCATGTGATTGAATTTATCCAATACAGTTGAAAATGAACCAGCATCACTCCAACAAGCTCAAGCTATTTATTTATTATTTTTATTTGTTAATTGTGGGAATGGAGGGTGGGTAGTTATGTTGACCATTGATGCCTCACCCCCATTCCCTAACGAGGTCAATCTTTTTATTTCAATATCAAGGTGACCCTCTTCCTAGTCTTATATACCAACAGTTTTGTTGGAATTTATCTGTCAATCATACTTGTGTAGTTGTGTGGTATATTTCTCTGTCAGTTTGTGTACATTCCTTCTTGCTTATATTCGTCACATTTAAGAGAATCCTTAGTATATGAGGGGTGGTAGCTCTAACGAATATCCTATTATTGCCAGTGCATCCTTTCATTATGATTCCTTATGTAAATGTTAATCGGGGGGTCATTGACACATGAAATCTTGGTGTTCTATATTTCGGGTGTTGATTTGGTTCTTGGTGCATCAAAACAACCTTTCTTGCCTGCTCCTTTGTGGAAGAAGCAATTTGTTAGGATGAATGGCCTCTATTTCCATTGAAATTATTTGTTAGTCATCTATCTCCTAGATATTATTATCTTTTTACCTCATCATGTGGTACTTTACTCTGATAATCATTTTGCAAAATATATGATGATAAAGCTAGGTTTTCACGTCTGAATTAAAGACACAGATTTGAACATCCACACTTGTGTGCATGTGGATTAAGTGAACTTTGCTCTTTCTCCTGGAATCATTGATGGTAGTCATTTTTAATATTGTTGTTACCATTTTTTCTCTGTTTACTCTAAAAATGATTGAAGTATTTCAAATCCATTAAACCTGTTGGATTCCATTACAAGGTCATGCTAAGATTTTGTGTCCAAGCATTAAAAAGGCATTCTGTAACCATGAGTCATGGACTTGGGAGTGCTCTGTAAAAGGCTAGTAAATATCATTGATTGGGTGGTGATTCCTGTGAGGCTTTGAATGTGAGGGTCAAAGGGAAGGACATAAGGTAGATGACCCATTCAGTTATGAAAATTTTGCCAATTAATTATGCTTTCTGAGAGGTCTTCGTGAGCACAAGTTTGATTGGTGTTGGTGACACAAGGAGAAACGATATTTATGGGTGCAGTCCATTGGCAGTTGTCTCCAATTTGGAAGGTGGATCCACTTATCTTAGTTTTTCAGCTGAAGGCAGAGAGAATCCTTTTAGCATATTAGGCTTGTTAAATAATTTTGATGTGAAAAAGGAGGGATGCATGGGTCCATCATCCCTTTATAATATTTCAATGGAACCTTGATTTTTGTGCATGTCTTTACATGCATTTGGTTTTAAATGTGTATCATGAGGGATTTGCCTCTGCTAATGTTCGAAAATTTGGCCGCCCAACCGCCTAGGCGAAAAAAATTTAAAAATCGCCTAGGCATAGTCTGGTAGCGGGCATTATGCGTTTTTGCTTTTGGGCGCCCGCATAGGCGGTCAAGGCGCCTCCTAGGCTCTATTCTCTGGGTGTCTTAGGTGCCGCCGCGTGACAACTTGTTGGCGGCAGAAAAAAACCCTCGAGTGAGGGCAAATATGTAATTTTCCCCCTAAAAAGGGGCAAAAAGTTTTAGGGGGTATTCTGAGCCCCCAATAGAAAATCCGTAGCCTTTAGGGTGAGAAAAATCTCCCAAAAACCACTCTTTTGTGATTTATCAAAAGATTTATTGATTTTTTCTCACTTGGACGATGAAATTGAGCATATATCTTATTCTTTTTTGTATACTTGATTCCTTTTTTGTACAATGTGTCTTATTTTGATATTCTATTTCTTTTGTTTTAGTTTATTTGATAAATAATCGATTATGTAATATCTTAATGGGTTAAGTCTTATGTGAAAGTGAAACTAAAGTCTTATATATTCAGTTATTCATTTAAGTCTTATTGTAAAGTAGTAGTTAGTGTCTTATGTTTGGGGTGGGGGGAGGTGGGGAGGGGGGGTGGGAGGGGGGGGAGTTTGATTTTGGTGAGGGCACCCCGTCCCTGGGCGCCAGCCTAGGCGGCCAGGCACCCAAACGGCCTAGGCACCCGAATCTGTTTTTTTAAACATTGGCCTCTGCATATTGGTTTCTATCTCCATACTTGAGAAGATTATCTCGTAGAATACTAGGGAATCCTTAATGTACAATTTACGAATAAACTAGGCAGTGGTAGACTGGAAGGAGGGAAGTAAATTGAAGAGATTGGTCTTGGCCAAATGGATGAAGATAAAAAAACAGAGTTGAAGAATAGTTGGAGACTGTTTAATGGATGGAGGAGGGTTGGGAGGGAATGTGGTACAATGATATCAACGACATACGATGAGCATATGCAAAAAGGGTTTAATACGGGTTTTATTCTGGGGTGTCAAAATTATTTGTTTTCAGTTGTATAATGCAGATTAAAACTCGCTGAGCCCAGATCTGAAGTCCAGTATTAAATATTCTTTATGAATTATGGTTTGGGGCATATGAGGATCTATTCATGAAGATTGGAGGCCCTAATTCAAACTGGACACATCTTTGGAAAGATTGACTTCGAAAACGATATTTTTTTTCATTTTAAATTCATATAAATTGATTTATTTTGGAAAATATCACTAAATGCAGTTGTATTTCTTTAATCATGTATTTTTGTAGCAATCTTTCAAAAAATCAGTAATAAATAATGTGTGTTTGTGTGTCTATATACCCATATGAGATTTTTACATTTGTATAGATGTGGGAATTACTTGTTGGATTTTTTTTTCCTTAACATGTTTATATGCATTTCATCATTTTTTTTAATCTTGTATATGATTGTTATGCTTGCTTGATGAATTTTTTTTTTCTAAATTTTCCTTTCTTTTCCTTTTTTGGGAAATTTTCTTTATCATTTTGGATTTCGCTGCGTCGATCTTACCAGGCCATGCCTAGTTCCTGGAGCAAGTCCATGGTTTAAAAAACTGATATGTGCATCGTACATATTTCATACATATTTATAGTTGCATATTAGTGTGCAAAAATTTATAGGACATGCATTACACATGAACATTCATATATTACCAGGCAGTACTGGTTAGCATCATGCATGTTCACATCTGAATCCAAGGACACTAACTGCTTAAAAAAAACATGCACTCATAGACCACTCTACAAACATGCGCATGTGTTTAAACGAGCACCCATGGTGAGGCAGTGTTGAGTTTTTTGCTGCCACTTCACTCCTGGTTCCACCAGCTGCTAATTTTGTTGAAAGCAAATGAATACGAGGTACACTCCTACATAGACTTCACAAGGTTCAGGAGTTATAGCGAATTTAAAATGAAGGCTTGCTTTCTTTTCTATTTGCTCCAGTGTTTTTGGAATGTGAACCTATGTACATCAGTGGAACTTCTAGCCAAGTGATGTTCTTGACGTTCCATCACCCCATATTTCTGGTGGGAGTAGCGAAAATAACATGGCAGCAAAGACCAATACTGTAGAAATATAGAATATTTGTGTAATCTTTTTATTAGTTTTTCTCTTGGTTAAGGTGTTACTCAAGAAGTTTTCAAGTACTTCATTCTTCTTCAGTCAACCTAATTAGAAAATAAACTTGTATTTCTTGAATACACATGCACACACACGCACGCACACACACACACACAAAAGGAACATATTACTGTGCAAGATGCATTCCATAACCATTTTAATGGTCTTTACTGCTTTTTACACAACCCACCGTTTCTGCCTAGACAGGTAGTTAAAAATTGTTTGTATTCATTGACCTTGTTGGCAAACACTTTTCTTTTTGACAATTCTCAAAAAGTTGTTTATAAATCCATAATATTAGAGGTCCTTCATCTTTCCTGGTAATGTGACCCTTGGTGTTAAATCATTTTGGTACATATGCAGGCAGCAGCTAGGGGAGAGGAAGGTATGACTCTCTTTTTCGTTTGCTGCAATCCGAATTGTGGACACAGGTGGAGGGACTGATGTGATAATGCTTCTATGACTTTGCAAGATTCCAACAGGTTCTACTAATATATATATTAGTAGTAGTGGTGTTCTATTTGGGTATGGTTATCCTCATGAGTATTGTAAGGAAATTGTTCCAGGTCCCCAACGGCAGCAATTTTGCATGTCTTTTTGTATTGAGTTGTGACCTTTCCAAGAATATTGATGGCTGCATGCTCACTGATAGTATGATTTTACAGCGAAATTTAAGTATGTTAAAAAATTCGCTTTTGGGTAGTGAAATTTTTATCATTTACTTTTTCTCTTCCTACATGAGACTCATGGGTTTGAACCCTGTTTTGTGGTCATCTTGAAATGACTTGAACAAGGTTGAACATGGTCCTATGGAACACTCAGTTGGTAATGACTAATGAGTTTTACTCAAATGACAAAGAATGTTTTCCTTTTGCTTATACACTTGTTTTTCTTACATTGTATGTCAGAGAGATGATTTTTCTTGAATTGTATGAGAGAGAGAGAGAGAGAGAGAGAGAGAGTGTGGTGGGCATTAGAGTCTTGCTGTTACTGAAATCTCCGTACAGATAGACGTTGCACTAGAATTCCTCGCTGCCATAAACTCTGCCTCCCTCAGATGCTCCCCTTCAGAGAAAGACCACCTCCTTGGGCAGCCCTCCTCTCTTTCTGTCACCCTTTCCCTTGCACCGAACCTTCTTTTACAACCATTCCTACCCTTTACCCATCTCTTCACCTTGTCAATCAACCTTCCCTTTCTCAAACCACTCTTTTGCCCTTCATAGGACCCAAAATCCATGTAAAACTCATTACAATTCCCCATTTCTGTGACAGGACGACATTCTAATTCATACTCACCATACTTTTGCTCTTCACACCTGGTGTCGCTCTCCTCTAGATTCATGCGTGTATGCTTTCTCTCTCCAAAATTATTCTCTCTATTTATATTCAAACCCCAATCCCTGTTGGGTTCTCCCATTACTCTTTCCTTACTCTGTTCAGATCTCAAGCAGGCATCAACCTGCCTTAAGTAGATCAGTTCTTCAACCTCAAAGCACTCTTTGGTCTGAATCTTTTCCAGTGACTCTAACAATTGCTTCTCTGCAACCACTATTGCCTCCGCGTCCTCGTCTTTTCTTTTGTTTGATGGAGAAGTGGAACCTTGAGCCAAGCTCAGTTCAATTGCTAGTTCGGCTCTCTCCTTCTGCAATTGTTGGTTTATTCTTCGCTGAACAAGTATTTCATCCTTCAACTCCTTCACCCTCTCAGAAATCTTCCTTGACTCTTCTTCTTTTCTTGAGCTCCCATCTTCTCTGGCTTGAAGAACTGCCATTCTTTCCTCAAGCTTGAGCACCTCTTCTCTGTTCTTTCGAGATCGTCTCTGCAACTCATGCTCGAGAACTTCAATCTTTGTCCTGGCTGATTCAAGCTCAGGTTCAAGCATCTGGTATTCTTTAATGAGAGCCTTGAGTCGAAGGTTATCAGCTTGCAAAGCCTCGATATTTAAACACGAAGTTGCAATTTCCTGAGTCTTGGCTTCCAAGAGCTCCATAAGCTCTTCAATGGTGCTTGAGTCCTGATCTTTGATGGCACGGTAGTCGCCCAACTCCACCTCTAGTTCATCTTCTCTCTCTCTAAGTGAAGTTACGAGAATCTGAAGGTCAACTATTTCCTGCTCCAGACTGTTATCTAGAGAGATTTGCAATGAGTTCTCAGGTTGTATTTCATATTCCAGTGAGTTTTGTGGTTGTGTCTCAAGGTTACTGGTATCTAGAGAGATTTCCAACGAGTTCTCAGGTTGTCGTTCGGTTTCCAGTGAGCATTCTGGTTGCAGGTCAGATTCTGGTGAGGAGTCCTGTTCATTGCAGTCAGAGGAAGAGGAGGCCTCTAGATCGCTGTTGCCCTCTACATTTTCTACTGAAAGCTCATGGCCATGGTGCGAGATTGTTCTTTGAATCCTGTTGCAAATGAAAGGTAAGAGTGAGAGAGCGGCAGCAATTCCAGTGATTGCTTTGATAGGGATGATGAGCTTCATCTCTCTATCTCCATTAGTTTTCTGGTCTCACAAGAGAGAGAGAGAGAGAGAGAGAGAGAGAGAGTGTGTGTGTGTGTTAGTTTAACTTGCTGTATGGAGGAGGGGGAGAGTACTAACTGTCTGTGTGAGGAGGGAGAGTACTAACTCAGAGAGAGAGAGAGAGAGAGTCTAAACTGTGTCTTTGTAAGAGGGAGAGATAATCTAAACAGTGTGCCACCGAGAAGAGAGTTTATTTAGCCGAGATTTTTGGTTTTGGATTTAAAAATTGGGTTCGAAGTTTAGAAGACGTGGTTGGGAGGAAAGAGTTATTGCAACGCTTTTTACACCAGAATGATCCCTTACTTCTTTTCCCATGCTTTGCTTTGCTTGTCTTTTCGTTTTTCGGTAAATGCTTTGCTTTGCATTTCTTTCCTTCTTGGTTCCATTGCTTTGTCCTTTCTTTTTATCTCATCAATTTTTTTAATAATGCCAACACATCACTGTACCACGGCCTTACTTCTACTTGGCCTTGTGTGTTTATAGAAAATTCCCTTCCCACTTCTTCTCTTTCTTCATCAATTTCTTCTGTTTCTTTATTCATTTTGAGAGAGGGGTCATGTTTGTGCCGAATGTAGAAGGGTTTGACATTCATTTCAAACGGGATGCTAACTATTGAAGCCAGAGTAGCTAGGGTATCTGTAAATCTATTGTTTACCCTAGCCATGTGCTAAAAAGTCATTTCCTTAAAGTTTCTTATTAAGCGCCCCACCTTTTTGTGATAGGGAATCAATTTTTCTTCTCTCACTTTCCATGCCCCTTGGATCTGACTTTATCACAAGTAGGGAATCACCAATGACTCATAATACTTCGATTCGAAGTTCAATGGCATTTTGAGTCTCGTTATCATGGCTTCTTATTCCACAATTTTGTTTGTGCATTCAAAATTGAGCCTCACAGCGGTGGGCATTAAAACCCTTTCAAGGGAGCATAGGATGATACCTACACCTGCCACATATTCATTCTTAGAAATGGAGTTCCCAAGTTGGATCTTCCACATTGAAGACGTCTTCATTGGGCAAGTCAATGTTGACCGGTGTGTCGTCGAAGATCGCATGTTCTGTTAGGTGATATGCAATTGCTTGGCCCTTGACTGATTTTTGGGTGACATAGTTGATCTCGAATTAACTTAGGAGCATACACCATTTAGCTAGTCGTCTATTGAGTATTGGCTTTCCTATAATGTATTTTAGTGGGTCCATCTTTGAGATGAGCTTAATAGAATATGACAAAACATAGTGCCGTAGTGTTTTAGTCACCAATACTAGCACCAGGTAGTGTTTTTCAAGATTCGTATATTGGGTTTCGTAGTCGACCATGGTCTTACTAAGATAGTACATGGTTCGTTCTCTCCCTTGGTTGTCATACTTTCCCAACATAGCTCCCATGGTATTTTCTTTTATCGAGAGGTACAAGAACAGGGGTTTGTGAAGAACAGTTGGGCTTAGAAGCGGTGGGTTCGATTAGTACTGCTTGATTTGGTCGAACACTTCTTGACATATTTAGTCCCACACAAATGGCGTATCGTTTTTCAATAGCCGGTTGAAGGGTTCACACTTGTCCGCTAATTGCGAGATGAAGCACCTTATGGCTTGTATTTTTCCTTGTAGGCTTCAAATTTCTCTTATGTTCTTGGGAGGTGGCATATTGGTAATAGCCCTAATTTTTAACGGGTCTACCTCAATACCCCTTTGACTGATAATGAAACCTAACAATTTTCCCAAAACAACTCCGAAATAGCACTCTGTTTTCACAATGCACAATATATTTGTCATAGTTTACCCCAAACTGGTCAAGTAACCTTCTCAACCAAATCATTTCTTTTGCTGCTTCAGTTGATGATAAGACAACAATACCTTGCAACTTTTACATCCAACTGATTGCACTATCACCATCATTAAAAATATACCTAGTGGTAGACCTTCTAATATTACGACATTTTGCATAATCTACATCTACATAACCAACAAATTCCAATGATGAGTTCCCAAAACACAAGCATAATTTTTATGTCTATTTCAAATGCCGAAGGTTTCACGTAACTGCTGCCAATGTTCCCAACCTGGATTAGATATAAATATGGAAACAACTCCCACTGCATAGGCAATATCATGTCTAGGACAAACCATTACATACATCAAACTATATGAAACATTGTTCATCTTACTTTTATCTACTTCATTCATTGGACAATCTTTTTTAGACAACTTAAAATGTGCAGTTAATGGCGTAGAAACATATTTACAGTTAATCATATTAAAGCGCGCATGAACTTTAAAAATATACTCAAATTGACTTAACCAAAGCTTATATTGCTTTCTATCTCTATGGATGTATATGCCCAATATTTTATTGGCTTGTCCAAGATCCTTGGTGGCAAAATGTTTGGATATATCAAGCATCAGACACTTGATTTCATTCAGATCATTGCTAGCAACAAACATATCATCAACATCAAGCAACAAAACTGCAAAATAATCATATGCTAAACACTTGAAGTATACACAATGATCAAATTTGCATCTAGGATAACCTTCACACAACATAAAACTATAAAATTTCTTATACCATTGCCTAGATGTTTGTTTCAAACCATACATTCTCTTTTTCAACTTGTAAACCAAGTTAGGATTGATTTTGTTATCAAAACCTTCAGGTTGACACATAAAAGATCGCCATGCAAGAAGGTAGTTTAATATCAAGTTATTCTAGCTCCAAATTCAAATTAGCAACCAAAGGTAAAACAAATTTAATAGAGCTATGCTTGACAAGAAGAGCAAAATTTTATTAAAATCAAAATTTGGTTTTTTTCCATAACCTGTCACTATAAGTTTGGCCTTATATTGCAAAAGACCATTTACCTTCCATTTAAATACATATACCCACATATTCTTCAATGTTTTTTTTCTCATGTGGGAGTTCCACCAACTATCATGTGTCATTCTTATGCAAAGCATCAATCTCTTCTTCCATATTTTACTGGGGAAATTATAAATAACCCCTAAAAATAAACTTTCTCTGCAACTTACCCCCCAACAAAACTTTATTTTCTCACTTTTTACCCCAAAATATACTTTCCTAGCAAATACCCCCTAACCACAAAAAAATAATAAAAAAAAGATGAAACTACTCTCATTGACTTTTACCCACGCCTCTCTCCCCTCTTTTCCTAAACAAAATGCGGTACGACATATCCCTAAAGCGGTCCGACACTTCTGTTCATGAACAAACATGCGGTCCGACAGATCTATATGGTGGTCCAGCACATTGTGGTCCGGCACATGCGGTCCGACAGAAATATATGGCGGTTCGGCACATGTGGTCAGGCAGATCTATATGGCAGTCTGACAGATTCAAAAGGTGGTCTAATAGATAAGGAAAGCAGTCCAACGCTTTTTTTAGTTTAACAAGGTCCGACAATTGGTACATGGTAGGCAGCCCGTGTAACTTTTGGTATTGTGTGTAATTCTATGTGATTGTTTAGCCAAAATTAATTTTTTATGTACGAAAAAGGGTATTTTTATCAAAAAAATATGTCTGTTTTTACTTGAGGGTATTTGCTCATAAAGAGTATTTTAGAGTAAAAAGTGAACTTTTTTTTTTTGAGGTGGTTAGTTGCATGAGAAGTCTTTTTGGGGGTTATTTATAATTTGCCCTGTTTTGGACCACCAGTTTAGGGTTGTTTACACTTCAGTAAAGAAAGTACAAGAGCTACGTTACCTCATGCGCTGAACACACCGAAATTACGTTGCATACCAACCTCAACCTGGACCTGACCGGACCCGACATAATAGTTTCTATACGGGATCCGAACCTGGACCCAGATCCAACCCAAGTCGGATCCATATCATTAAGACCCCAGAGTCCAAAACATAGAGCCAGATCTGGACGACACGACCCGATCGCCGCCCGTACTAAACTTTCCCGTTCTGTCTTCTTACACGAACCGCAGATCCTAATCACAGCGACACGTGCCAAATGAGCACTGAACCGTCACTACTTTTCCCAAATAGAAGTTGGACCCATCTTCGCCGAGCTCCTCATTCGTATCACTAAACACCGCATACACACACACCACATCATCCACCACGCTCAGTCGCTGCTCATGGCCGAGCGCAAAATCCCGACCGTCGAAAAACTGATCCTGGCCATCCAGAGCCAAAACTTCGGCATGTGGGGGCGATTCCATACCCGGGCCAAGGCCACATAAACTCCATGATGCTCCTTTGCACGAGACTCGCATCAAAAGGCGTCCTCATTAGCTTGGTGGTCACAAAGGAGTGGCTTGGTTTCTTGACTTCGGCTCAGGAGCCACCGCCCAATGTTCGGCTCTTGTCTATTCCCAATGTTTTACCCTCTGAAGTGAGCCGTGCAGCCGACGTAACCGGCTTCATGGAAGCCGTGCATACCAACATGGAGGAGCCCGCAGACCACCGACTGCTCAGCTCAATCGAGACAGTGTCATTGATCATTGCAGACATGTTCATAAGTTGGGCAGCTGATGTGGCCTGGAGGAGGGGTATTCCGGTGGCTCTGCTATATCCGATGGCCGCGACTGTATTCTCTTGCTCTTGCCATTCGACCTCTTGGTTTGTAAGGGACATTCTCCCCCTAGCTTAGGTAGGCCATGGTTAACTCAGGTAGACCATGACTCGACTTTGTTTGCTGCATCATGTTTTGTGTACATACTGGTTATTAGTCTGTGACCTTTCAATTTAGGGAAAGCTTTTTATATGTCACTTGGTATGGGAAACATATATATGCTTCTCATTCTCATAGCCAGCTTATTTAAATGGATCTGAGTTGGCCCCAGTCATAATTTCACCCCTAAACATTATTATTTTTTTAAAATTTTCTATACAACATATTACCACTAAAATTTTGACATCCAATTCTCTCGTAGGCTCGCACCTAAAAAACTAATAAAAATTACTTTTTCTAAAATAAAATAATCAAATCTCTTG